ACTGCTATTTTTATTGTACATAAATGACCTCCCCCTATGTGTCAATCACTGTAATATTGATATGTTTGCAGATGATGCAACTCTGCATTTATCTGATAACAATGTACATAATATTGAAACATTTTTGAATTATGATTTATGCGAAATTGAAAACTGGTGTTTACAGAACCAAATGATTCTGAACACGAACAAATCAAAATCTATGCTTATGTGTACACAACAAAAAAGGTCAAAATTAGATATTCCAGAACTTAATACAGAAATTTCTGGAGAAAAGCTTGAAAATGTTAATGTTGAAAAACTTTTAGGTGTCTATATAGATCAAAATCTTCATTATAATTATCATGTAGATTCAGTTTGTAAATCCTTAACATACAAGTTATTTACACTCCGTAAAATTAAGAAATTTCTTCCATTAAATACCAGAAAACTTTTTTATAATGCATATATTTTGCCTTCAATAAACTATTGTCTTACAATATGGGGCAATGCATCTAAAACTAGCATTGAAAGAATTCATAAACTTCAGAAACGGGCTGCTAGAATTATTCTTGATGCAGCACCCGACGAACAATCAAAACCTTTGTTTGAAAAACTGGGATGGCTAAATGTATTTGAATTAGTCACTCTACATAAGTGTAATTTATTGTACAAAACTTTTTATGGTATGAGCCCCGAATATCTCCAGGACCTTTTTGTTTTTCATAGCAATGATTCCTATTCCTTACGTTCAGAATTAAATTATAATCTTCGTTTACCAAAACATAGAACAATTTTATTTACAAATTCTATTCAATATTCAGGTGTAAATTTATGGAATAACCTACCATTACATATAAAATTATCACCAACCTTACCTATTTTTAGACGAAATGTAGAAAAAATTATAATTAGCCAACGTATGTAAATAAATGTTTGAATATGTCCTTTGTACAAAATGTTTGACTATTACTATTGTTTAAGACAATGTCTCTTGAACAATTAATATTGACTTCTTTATTAATTTTGAATCTATATCTCATTTAGATGTACATTACATTATGCACTAACGAACTCTACATGTTTTATCTTTGATTGTATCATTTTATGTAATATGTTGTTTGAAATTAGAAGGCCCCGGGGAAGAATAGTACCTGGTACTAATCGGGTTACCTTCTCTAAATAAAGCATTATTATTATTATTATTATTATTATTATTATCTTGTCATGTCTACGAGAGTAACAAAGCAAGTGAACATTTGTCAATACAAAAGAACAATAAACGATAACTGAAAACATCGCAGCTTCGAGGGATAAACAAAAGTCCAACATTTACAATGAACCACAAGTCACCGCTTTGTGACCATAACAAAATTAAATCTTTGATACGAAATCTCATCTTACAGAACTAAAACGATAGGTAACGACATTAACTTTAATACATATTTGATTAATACGTAATCGAATCATTTTCTAGCAATATATCTGAATAAAATGAAAAAAATATAGGGTAATTCAAAGGAAATATCTCTAACATAAGTTTGACTTAGCTAGGACCTAGCTAAGTTCGTTTTATGTTACGGTTTAAGACATACTTAAGTAGTACTAAGACAGGTCCTAAGATTGTGCCTAAAACGTACTTATGACCCTACTTAAGTCAAAAACTTAACAAGCTTTATGTTACGAGACCCAGGTGCTCAGGAGATGGTAGCATCCCTCTGACGACCGGGCACACCCATCGTGGGTCCCGTGTACTCATTGGGTAGACGGAACGTTTTATATAGTCAAAATTCAGTAGTAAAATATAGGCCTTAGAATTGGTATGAAAAACGTCAACCAAAATACAATCAAATAGCCAGAATACAACCAAATGATAGGTTATTTTGTTCAAACAAGGTCCTTATTACAACCAAAGAATTTATGAAATGTTGACTTTTAAAGAGGTTGTTGAAATCCTTGTATCATCGACTTATTTTGAGTAATTTCCTTCGGTTAAATGATCATACTCGTAGCAAACTCTTGAGTATCAAATTAGTTGAGAGGTGTAAACACCATATGCAGGTGATAGCGGCATATTACTACATAACTAAGGAAATAGGGCTGGGTATTGACCAGAGATTTCGTATTGCGATATATCGCGATATTTTAACTGTATTGCGATATGTATTGCAATATTTTCAACGAAACTAATAATGGCATATTCTTATTATATTACCTTTAATTTAGATGCAGAAAGTTCATAACTATGATCAGTAACCAAAAAAAAATAATCTTTAGTTATGCTCTGAAAGAAGAAGGTATGGTTTTAGCTTTCTTGCGCCCTAAAAATGTAATGACATCAAAAAGTTTTGAAACTGGCTTAAATATTAGATAAATATATGACTGTGATAAATCTGGAAAGAATATAGCATGAAGGTTTACCATTCTGCAATTATGACGTCATTAATGTGAAGCATTTCTCTATTTTCAACAGAAAAAGCCTCAAAATGGCCCATTTCAAGGGTGATTTTCCTTTAGAAAACAGTGTTCACAGCCGTCGCCCACACTTATTTTTTGATATTTTGTGCAAAATTCAATAACAAATCACATATCTCAAAATCTGTGTGGGCAATGCCTGTGGACAATGTTTTCTGAAAGGAAATTCCATTGAAAATTGATGTCTTCAGCAACTTTTTAAGAAAATACGGGAAAATGCACATGTTTATGACGTCATAATTAGCATTTAAAAACATATGTGAGAAAAATTATTTGTATGATTTTTTCTGCTTTGAATTTTAATTATTTAAAAAGCATGAGTTTTCAACTTTTACACCAGTTTCATTTTTTAGAAAATCACAGGGCAAAATTTGTATGGAAACCATACCTTGCTCTTCACCCACAAGACAGCTTCTTTTGTACTTTTTGGCTTCATAACAAATCTTTCTTACATTGATTTTTATATTTAATGATAAAATTCCCTAGTCTAAGTTTTTGGCCGGTATATCGATATTACAAAAACGTATTGCGATATTTTTTGTCATTGTATTGCAATATACCGAAATATCGATATTATTGCCCAGCCCTATAAGGAAAGTTGACGATGAAAATGTTAAAATCATCTTGTTTGACCAACAACAGAATTCTTAGAACACGGACCCCTCAAAATTTCTTGAGTAGGATCAGTTGACTAGTAGTAGTGAACATGCTTTCTTGGATGGTTACTGACACCGTGAACCCTATGTATTGATCAAGTAGACGGAACATTCAATAGTCAAATGTAAAAAGAAATCATCTCCTAAAATAATTATTATAGAGATATTTCCTTGACCTACCTCCATACATTTCGAGGTCCGATGTATGTATTTTCATGGGCCTCGTCAACATTACATAAAAATCCTCCTATAGAAGCACATTTAATCTAAAATGTCAAATCAAATTCCGTGACTCGCAATCTGGTTTTAGTGAACAAAACAAATCTTACTTATTTATTATTCAAATTGTGAATTTCATTAAATAAATAACCACAGTTATAAGCATGAAAAATTATATTGAAAAAAATCTTTCTGAGATAAAAGGAAAAGGGGGCTTTTTTTTATTTCCAAAGCTTGATATTGCTAAAATAATCAAACTAATATTTACGGACGCCTGCCACCATGATAGTCTGTCTCTGCTGAAATAATAACAGGTCCCGTGATACAAACTCCAGCCATAAGAACAAGACCTTTTAGCAACTTTGGCGGCAACATATCCAAAACTGCTGTATTTGGGAGCTTAGTATACAGTTATCCACTGGTTGTGAGTGGGATAGATCTTTTATCAAACCCGCGACAGGGAACTATTCCCCGCGGGCTTGCCCGAGGGAAATAGTTCCTGTCAAGGGTTTGATAAAATAGCTATCCCACTCACAACCAGTGGATAAGCGTTTTATCATACTGATGTATGATATAATTTTTGAATGATGAATATGTTTGGAGTAAGATAATACTGCAAGAATAATCTGAAATCCTGATGACGTCACAATGCTACTGAAGTCATTATGACATCAACATTCTATAGATTTATTGCTGGAAATCAAAATTGGCGGCAAAAAATGCATGAAAATTTTCCGAGGGGTGGTTAGCAAAAACTATATCCCGGGGTATAGCTTTCCTATGCATGGAAATTTTCAGACTATAAAAGATAGTTATTTTACCTTCTGAACTTTATATAGGAAACATTTTAACCGAAGTATAATATTCATAGCTAGCTTTCACTGTAATTAAGATATAATAGAATTATTTGAATAGATTAAAAGAAAAAAGTTTCTTTCAATTTGCTTTGTCTTTTAAGATATTACAAAGTGCGAAGATAAGTAGACAATTCATGACTGTAGCTTTTAGCATATTGCTAACGTTACATATTCTGTTCTTTTTACCGAGTTTCGTATCGTTTTCTTACATATGTGAAATGTAAATATTCACGCCCTTTTCGTGTCAAAACATGCAGGAAAACTGTATTGTACTGATCGAAGGGAAAGAATAGAAGAACAGTATATGTATTGAATCGCAAATGGATATGGGAGATATCGGGGCGGGAATTGAGTCCGTGTAAATGTGATATTATACCAAGACATAAAATGCATTGACCCTAATCAAATATGGTTGAATAGAAGTATATATATCGAGGACAATTTAAGAAACAAGTAGGTTTCCAAAATAGGCTTCAGCATGAATACAGTGATTTTTGCTTGCCTTTTGCTCTCTGCAACACTTGCTAGTAAGTAAAACAATTAACAAACTGCGATATACATGATATAGTCATTCCTTATTGAGTATGTTTTACTCAGTTAATACAAGGGTGGGAAGAGAATAGAAAATGTCTTCATCTTATGCTATTAATCTTGTAACAAAATATTTCAAAGTTATAAGTTAGCTAAAACAACAAAAAATATTCCATTAATGGGCGCAAATTTCATAAATCCCCTGGTATATCAAATAAAAATGCTTTATCTATGTTTTTTTAATTTTTTCTTGTAGTCTCACAAGCTAGCTATAACATAAGACCAAGGTACAGTGCCTTTAAGTATGCTGCTGCCAAAGTTATTTCTGGTGGCTGCCCTTATGGATGGCATCAGTACAATAAACGTTGTTATTGGTTCAGGAGAGACAAACTGAACTGATACAGAGCTTCTGTAAGTAAAAAAAAAATATTTCAATATTTTTTTAAACAAAAAACCCCATTCTAAGAAAACCTGAATAAGCAGTGATTACAAACTACTTAGTATTTAAAACGGTACTTTTTTTTTAAATTATACACAGTCTAACACGACTCAAACTATTCAGAGAATTTACGTATAATCGATATAGATGAGATGTGTCGCCATGGGAGGTTACCTGGTGTCCATTGACCAGTCCCACGAAAACACCTACGTAAGACATATGTGCAGCATTTACGGATGTAAGTCGTTGCTATCTATTAAGATTTGTTATCAAATATCAGCTCTCAATGAATCATAAATACAACTGATTGAAACTATGAAAACATGTGCAATTCAGATAGAAGAGGAGCATGGTTGGCTTTAAATGACGTTCTGAGACCAAACAAACATAGATGGTGCTGGGGATTTACGGTCAAGCCATGCCACAAATTTGACTGGTACGGTCAGGAACCAGTTTATCATGAACATGGCGACTACAACTGCGGTGTATTCTGGAGATCATACAAATACCACTGGCATGTTGACAGCTGTGGTCAGGCTAACAACTATGTCTGCGAGAGACCACTGGTATGTCTCTTTAAGATACTGAGATTTATCTTTACCTAAAAGAAAATCAATACATGAATTTGAACATTTTTGAATCGTATTAACTGATTGGAAATTTTCTATTTTGCAGGGAAAACCATGCCGCTGTTCTTATTAGAAATGTATCTTAAATAAAGGGCTGAAATACTTGATCGGGTATTGTGTTGTTGTCAGTCAGCAAATATTACATTTATACATTTACATCATAACAAAGCATGTGAATAAGAAAGTATGTTCGACTTTTCTTGAAGTTATATTAACTTTGATCCGGGTTTTAGAATACTGGACAATACAAAGCTCACTGATGATGATTCAACACTGGGTAATATATTTGAGCTTAAGATTGTCAATATTCAATTGAAAAAGAAATAAATGATTGTAGATTTTTTTTAATTTGAAAGGAATTAGTGATATCTGCAATTATTGATCTTTGTTGTTAATTTCTAAAAGTCTAAATGTGGTAGTTAGATCCAGAAGTTTCCAAATTGTTTGGTTGATTTGGAGAGACCGGCCGGCAGGAGGTGCTCACTCCTCCATGGCACGTGATCCCATCGCTGATATTTAAGAGGACCGTATTTGCTCTGCCCCTTATTTGAATGGAATTTTTAGTTTAAAACTGTTCGTTATCTTCGTATATTTTATCACTTTTGATGTCAAAAATTAAATAACTTTACCAAAGTTTCATTACATTCTAAATAATATGAATAGTATTGCATTCATTGGTAGTAAATACTGTGCCTTGTCTTATTGAATTACATTCTGATTCAAAAGAATCTTTTAATTTTTAAATGTTATCTATATTAATTTATAAGATATAAAAGGAAGGTTTGGTGTCAACAAGGCCTTAACAGTGTGCCTGGTTATTTAATCCCATTGATTAATGCCTATATTTTTCAAACATTCATTCATTTATATCTATAAGGAAGTATCTGACCTTTCAATCTTTTATGCAATAATACCATTAATAGTCACAGTAATTAAATAAATAAAACAGGATTATATTATCTGGGTTTACGTTTATTGATCGAACATTATACTTCAGACCTTTTTCTCCACACCAGATTGTACAAAAATAGAATTATTTCAGTTTTCTGAACAAGTTTCTTTTTTATTTTTCTTTGAGAAAAAAATCATTGTCTGAAATATAAAGGTAACGAACTATAGAACCAAGCTTAAAATCTATTGGAGAATACAAACACAGGCCAATTAAACTCCAAAAGCAGAAGAAAAGCAAAACAAACAACAACAAAACAAACAAACAAACAAACAAAAACCAAAACTAAACCAAAAAAATTCAAATTGGGAGAGTTTGTTTTGGCTGAAGAAAGAGACCAGTAGAATAAATGAATGAAAGTTTAGAATTGTCATAGAAATTTTCGCATTAGAATATTCAGCAACCTCAATAAGAACAAAGAAAAGTAACTCCAATGTGGAAACCTATTGTGAAAAGTTAAATGATATAGGTATGTTATTTCATTTTGTTTTACAAGTAATTAAGAAGCATGTTTATAATATGTGTTTAAGGATCCTCAGCCAGGATAACTCTAATAATTATTCTTTCATTTAAAAAGTCTTAAATAAATCTGAACTTACCAATAATAAATGATACCTTTTACTTCTACATGTAATATTTAAAGAATTTAAATACAGTATAAGTAAAAAATGTCTTTTTCGCCAAATGCCCAGATAACTATAGTTTTTTCCTAAAATATATTTGTTGATGAATGTTTCATCAGAAAATAATAGTTGTTGCTTTCATTTGCATTTTCTGAAAAAAAAATCCTGTATAACATAATAAAAGTATATTATTTTACTTTAATGTAATACCATTGATATATACTAACGGTCATTTTTGTGAGCAACTTCTAACCTTCAAAAACTGAAGATCGGACATTGTTCTTGATAAATGTGATCACGTGATACAGGCACTCACGTAACATGCTCCGTAGCATTCTGTTCATAGAAGCTAGAATAGTTTTCCGAGTCTTATATTTCTTACCAGGTAATTTTATTTTTTTTAACAAAAACAGTACATTTGTCAGAAATGGCCTAATCTTGGAAATAGGATGGTCGGATAAGAATATCCTTACCCCAGCATCCTCTGTCTTAGAATTTTTATCCTATATGGATATAAATTGGGCGTCTTCTTTTAATCATATCTGATATGATATATCTAACTTGGCGATCTTTCATAACAAATTACTCAACTAATTACACATCTCCTCCACAGCTTGCTTTCACTGGGCATCAGAATAAACTTCATTTTTAACCATCTCCCTTCCTTCATTAAAGCATTCAATCACAATAATGATTGACCTTCTAGAAAGCCTTTTGTCTTCATAAATCGTATACAAATTATTATAGGCTACTGCAACGAACTTTCAAAGTTAAGCATTAAATTTTACAGTCGTTCGTTGCTCGAGTAAGACAGTGTCAACCATTTTTTGCCACAAGTCACCTACATATTAAAGTCATTTCACATTGTGACGTCATCATCATGAAGCAAAACTCATAATTTTTATGAAAATAATAATAATGAAACAGCATTCAACAAAACATTAACTATATAAATATTATTCCTCTCCAGTACGGAGTCCCGTTCATAGTAAATGCAGTCTTCAATCTCGAGGAAATTTAGCAAATGAACTATTTATATTGAAATGAGGAAAGTTATTTTTTTTCGAGAGTCCACTTTTGGGAGAGAGAAGAGAAAGTTTGTGCCTGATGGTATTATTTTGTTAAACGTAATACACAGGCAGTTAAATCTATATAAATATCAGAATGGTTGAATAAGTCATATATAAATGTTTATATATTTGAATATTTACATGAAAAAATATGAAAAGCAGTTAAGTAGTGGACAGGTTTCTTCAGTAATTAAAGTGGCATTATTTTGTCAGGTATGCAACTATAGGCGATGATGATGTTGGCATTACTGGAGAAAAACTGTTCCTGTTTAACACCGATATGCAGATCTTTTTGTTACCTCTATGCATCTTTCAATATTCTAGATAAAGATAAAGATGTACTATTAAATGAATTTTAATAGGGTCTTCTAATGTAGATGATTTTTTTTTCTTGAAAGTATATTTTTCTTCAAAACAAACAAACAAACAAACAAACACATTATAAGGTTTATTCTGTGTCACATGTTTTTTCTTCCCTGTATTGGTGGTATTATTGGCAACGTTTCTGTATTTAGCATTTAATAATGGTGTTCATCTTTTTCTATTTCAAAGTATATTATAAATATACATTATTATAAAGTAAAAAACAACAAAAAAACAAACACATGTATAAGGTTTATTCTATGTCACTGTTATAATGATAAATTTTTTTTATAACTAGCAAAAAATATCAAAATAAAACTTTAAAGATCAATTGTATAATATTAATCCATTAAACAAAGCATAGTAAATAGGGACTTTTTAACGCGCAAGAAAAATAACGTCATTTTTCTACGTCATCAGTTTCAGAGATTTATAAGTGTGGTGATCCGGAAAATCTTTTTCGTGATTAAAATCAACAGTAAAAAGTGTATATTATAAAAAAGAAATTATATTGTCCCAATTTTATTTTTTAATATTGCATACAAGACTCTTCTTTAATATTGGCACTTGCAAGGTTTTCCCTGTGGATAAAAAACAATAAATTAGTGAAAAAAATCATTCTATGAAATATTAAAAGAATCATTTAAAGATATAAGATGATTTATATCCTTACCAGTTTCATCTCACAGACATAGTAGTTCTTATGAGAACAGCTGTCCACATGCCAGTGGTATTTGTAATGCTGCCAGAAAACTCCACAATTCCAGTCCCCTTCTTTGTGGTACACGGGCTCACTACCATACCAGTCAAACTTGTGGCATCTCCTCTTTGTGAATCCCCAGCTCCATCTGTGAGCGTTAGGGTAAAGACAGTCGTTCAGGGACATCCAGGCTCCAGGGGACACTTAATGATATACAAAAACCATTATTGGACATATTCCATTCAAAGGGTATAAATATTAACAACCAGACTGTTTAAATTTATTCCCAGATAATTCATCTTCAGACAATATAAATAACAGCATTGCTACTTTTCAGTATACTTACATTTGATCTATACCTCAATAACCTTTTTTTAAATATCATGATTGAAAAAAGAATGATCATGACTAAATCATGTTTATTAATGCTAATAAATGATAAACCTGTACATTTCTGCTTAATATGTCTATAATACGTCTTTTAAACACCACACATATGTTCCTGATATTCAGTAAAAGAAAATTAACGAAAAGAACCATTAATTGTTTATAAGATGGTTATAATTTACCTCCATACATGGCCAGGTGATGCCTGACGTATGTATTTTCATGAGCTTCATCCACATTACACAGGAATCCTCCCATAGAAGCACATTTCATCTACAATTGAATATAGTGTGTTTACTGTTCTAATATTGCATAGAAAATAGGAGATCAGTTAAAACAAATCGAAAAAATAGGTTATGCTAGGTATATGTGATGACAGAAAATATATCTTTAAAAATTCCAAATATGTATTTTCTCGCCTCTAAACAGATATTTTACCTTTTATTATTGCCTTCAGAGCCACATCAAATACCGAAATTGAAAGCTATGCAATCTTACCGTAATTCCTGTTCTATTATTTGGTCATGCGTCTCCATGTGAGAGAAAAATTCTCGAAAGGGACATTAAGAAACATAAAATCAATCAATTTTTTGGTCACCGGCGTGATGCAGTGATTAGAACGTCTGCTCTAGAGTCGCATAGTAAGGAGTCAATCCTGATGTCGCGGGTTCAAATCCAGCTGTTGGACGGGAAGACCGGTCCTTCGGATGGGACCATATAAACAAAGGTCCCATGTCGCAGTAGGTGATGGCACAAAAAAGAGCCTTCCCTACTCAATGGCCCTGAGTGCCAAGTAAAGCACAGCAATTGTAGCTCTCCACCGGCAAATGGTGGCGTCTCCATATGATTGAAAAATTGTAGAGAGGGACGTTAAATAGCATACAATCAATATGATTGAAAAATTCTAGACAAAGAATACCGCGCGTTAGCGCGTTAAGGTGTGTTATAGAACCGAAGACATAAAAAAAAAATATATTTACATTCCCCAATTTTCCTTCTTCATAATTGTTTATTTCCTTAATCTCAAATGTGAATTTAGCGCCCTTCAAATCTGTCGTGGTAAATAGATGTAAGAGCTGTTTGTGACGTCAAATGACGTTAGATGACGTTGCAAAGTTAAATGACTCAAACAAACATTGCGAGGAAAAAAGTGACAAATTAATTCTTAACGCACATCACGTTAATTTTTACGTTAATTTTTCAGGGTTAAAGTTTTTTCATTAAATTGAAATAAAACATTTTACATTTTAGTGTTCTTAGAGTATTGAAAATGCATATCGTTCCTACTGTGTATTCTAACGCGCGGTGACAAGGTTTCGCGTGTGTTATAGAAATTTGAACGTCGTGGATTTCTAATTGATTTCATAAGGAAAATTACACTGAATGTAAATATTATCATTTAAACAAGATTAAAATTGATTTAAACTTTCAAAAACATGTACCTCTGCCTGCCACCATGTGAGTTTGTCTCGGCTGAAATAATAACAGCTGCCGTGGTACAGTGACCATCCGTATGGACAAGTGCCTGCAGCAACCTTGGCGGCCACATACCCGAATTTGCTGTATTTAGGGGCGTAATTGTAGCTTGCCTCAACAACTACAAAAATAGAAGACATATATAATATTTTTCTTTCAACCATGACAGAATTTCTCTGATAACACTGGGTGTAAAGTATCAGATACTCCTTCAGGAACTTTTAAAACTATCATGTTATCATTACGACTAAACGACCCAAATCAATTTCAGAATATTTTAAAGGTCTAGGACAGGAGCCGATTAAAAAATAAAGTATGGTGTTCATCTTTTTCAATCTTTATGTTACTGATAATTATAAAAGTATTATACTATTCCTTTTCAATGTTCGTGGCCAATGATTCTGCTACCGATTATATTAAGCTATTCCTTTTCAATGTTCGTGGCCAATGATTCTGCTACCTATTATTAAAGCTATCCTATAAATGTTGGTCAATTTGATTTATTTGCGCTCTGCAAAAGAGATTTTCGGTTATTTGACCAGATTTAGTGACACTACAGCGAGTCTGTAGGTGGGTAAGGTGTAGAATTTAAGTTCCTTATGATGACTTAAATTCCAATCCTTACCGTGTGTTAGCCCTACAAAGACCAACATTTACAGTGACAACTGCAGCTGGCACTATACAGCATTTAATGACAAAAATTTGCAAAAGAACAAGTGAAGCATAATAATTACCAACCTTTATATAAAAATTTAAAAAAACATATATTTGAAACAAGGAAACCAATCCTGTTTTTTTTTATCAGAATGTCTTACCTGATGCTACGGCAACTAATAATGATATAGCAAGGAAACAATTCATGATTGATGCCTACTGAATATATAAAATGGATTCACCGTCATCCCTTATATAACGTCTCAATGCAATTTTTATGCAAGAAAATATTCACGCCTTTTTCATATAAACAAGAAAAATTACTTGCTTTTGCAAACAATACTTTCTGCTGATAAAGATTTGAATCGACGTTTGTATGTAAAAACCTTATACTGATCGAAATGGGAGGCGTTAGGGCGGGATTTTATCCCTTGTTAAGTTGAAAATATATTGTAGAATACCAAATGTCTTCAAAGGGGACAGTATTATATATACATGTCGAAGTACGAAATACCAGTGAGTTACCACAACTAGATCTAAAATGAATTCAGTCGTGCTGGTTAGTCTCCTGGTTCTATCCATCCTTGCTGGTGAGTTTTATGTTAGAATATATTGAATTATTGCAAGATCTTTTTTGTCGATAATTTCAATCCATTTAAATTTTTATTCTCCTTTGATATATTAATAAGTGTAAAAAATACATTAGGTTTATCATGAATTGCATGGGAATGTTTTTAAAATATCTTTCATTTATTAAACCAATTAAAAGGAGACGATTTCAATGACATAAAAATACCACTTTTTTAAGTCTCACAAGCCAGCTATAACGTAAGGCCAAGGTACAGTGCCTTTAAGTATGCTGCTGCCAAAGTTGTTTCTGGTGGTTGCCCTTACGGATGGCATCAGTACAATAAACGGTGTTACTGGTTCAGCAGAGACCGGTTGACTTGGTATAGAGCTTCTGTAAGTTTATTTTCAAGTGCACCAAAATGAATCAACATTGATAAATATTAGCAAGAGAATGTCCTATTCTTCACCTTTTCATTTTTTTCAAAATGAAGTATACCGACACTTAAAATTCTATAATTAGATGAGATGTGCCGCCATGGGAGGATACCTGGTATCCATTGACCAGTCCCACGAGAACACTTACATCAGACACATGTGCAGCATTTACGGATGTAAGATTTCTTTTCTTATTGCTTTCATATAAACATTGCAATCTAGCTCTAAGATGTTCTAAAACTTGTTTGAATCTTACTCTTTAAATCGAGAAAAATATGTCTTTGAGATCTTATTTAGACAGAAGAGGAGCATGGCTGGCTTTAAACGATATTCTGAGACCAAACAAGCATAGATGGTGCTGGGGGTTCATTTCAAAACCATGTCATAAATTTGACTGGTACGGTGAGGAACCAGTTTACCACACCACTGGTGATTATAATTGTGGCGCTTTCTGGAGATCATACAAATTCCACTGGCATGTTGATAGCTGTCAACAGAAAAACTACTACGTCTGCGAAAAAAATTTGGTAAGTTATATTTGACGGAGTTTAAAGAAAGTCGAAAAGAAGCAAAATTACATTAAGCTTAATCTTTATATGTATTATTCAAATAAAACTAACTCACAGAAATCGAGACAACTCGCTTTCATTTTAGAACTTCTCACTCGTAGGGAATAACAGCTTTTTATAAAATATCAGTGATTAAACAAATGGGTTATTCACTGATAATTAAAACAACATTTTCATATACTTAATATTCAATATAAATTAAACCATAGCTATTCAATTAAAAATACCTTTGTAAAATCTTTATATCGTATGAATAAAGATAAATTTTAAGGCTAGAATTTATTTTGTTTTTTAATGATAAGATGGCGTTTGTATAAAACGTATAACACATGTTATTTACTGTGACCTAATGCAAGATTCCATCTTATTTTTCAGGGAAAACCATGTGTCTGTGCTTACTGAATATTTAATAAATATTTTTAAAAGCATGATGTAACATTTATTTTTGTATTTTTCTGGCTAGATGGCTTTTTATAAAGCTTTCTTATATATAATAAAGATAGATAAAGTTGGTTTAAATACGAATTTGAGACTTAACACAATGATAACTATAATCGTGCTAAATAAAATTTTGTTTTATATCAGTATTTACAAACTTGTATTTACTTATAACCAAAGTGTTATTTAATAAATGAAGCTATACAGAAAAATCTTTCAAACATAAAACAGATTGACAGACTATGATGTCTTTATTTTGACATATTAACGGGAGTAATGATTGTTAATTGATAAGACGTCGTTTACATATAAGAATGTCAAAAAAAGTCCACAGTGTCTTCCTTTGCTTTAACATCGAAAATTATGCTTCGCTTGAATATAAACAGGTTAGTTATAAAGTAGAACAGTAAGTGTGTACGAAACTCCAGCAGATTGCTGGGAGACATGCATGGGTTCCAGACTACATAAATATTATCAGTTAGAAACTTCAACATCTTTATATCATTTTTAGAGTACTTTTGATCACAATCAGAATGATTTTTACAATACATTAATTTTTTGTTGACCAAAATTTGCCTTTTCTATTTTTATGGAGGGCACCATTTGTTTACGGTGTCCCAAAGCAGTCTCTTTATGTTTAAATTTTGATTTTAAATAAATTCTATTTTAATTTGTGTGTGAATGCATTGATTGCTGAAATTAGAAAAATAGAGAGAGGTGTTCAATCAATTTTAAAAACAAAGCTGTATTTTTTTTTTTTTTTTTTTTTTTTTTTTTTTTTTACAATTTTACTTTGAATATTCCTACAATGTATGTGTATCACAAGGCGGCTTTGCTTAAAGATAAGTTTAGCTCGGTTATAACGAAGTCACTGAGACCTATGAAAATTACTTCGCTTTAACCGTAATTACAACGGATAAAGCATTTAATTTATATAGATGGGGATCCAAGATAACTTAAGTTTGCTCTGTCCGTGAATTCGAAATATCCGTGTTCGTACTAAGCGAGTTTTACTGTACCCTTTTCAAGAGGAATACTCCACTAATGATAACCCAAAAGGTCCCTTCATTGACTTATATAAACTTTAATTTCAAAGTGTTGGTTAAAATTTTTCCTGGCGACTAGATTTGCAATGGCGACTAAAATATTTTGTGAAAAGTACCCACCTTCCCTGACAAAAAAGTGCTAGTTTTAATTATAGTTAACTATTAAATATTTTTACTTTAGTAAATCAAAGTATTTTTACTATGAATGTAGTTAGATACATATTACATGTATTTAAAATCTTAGAAGTAATTTCCTGATATTAACAAGAACAATTTTTGTATATTAACAATAGGTATGTACTTTAAGAAATATTTTTTAAGGCTCTAAATCTTTTTTTCTTCAGTAGACTATAGATAACTATCGTAAACTTTTGTAATGATGGAACCAAAACTTTAGAGTTCACTTTGAGTCTGACAACTATCTTACATCCTCTGACAGAAAACCAAGGTCTTCTCCTTTATGTTAAGCCGATCAAGCATTTACACATACACAGATTTATTATAAAAACGACGTTCTGTCACCATTTGAAATATCTGAACTTTGAATTTATGACCTTTCCAAACAATAGCTTTCATGCCGTCATTTTCAGTTTTGCATACGTAACCAGTGCTGGTATATAAAGCTGGACTACAGTCAGAAGAAGATACAAGGGTTAGAGAATGTCTCTAGAAAATACAAAAAAATTGACTTAAACCTTATATGGTGGAATACAAGACAGCTTATCAAAAGATTAAGAATACTCCTAGTGGTGCTTATGTTTACAGCATTTATAGTCTTAATTGTTATCGAGAATTTAGTCTTAAACATTGACGAGGTTGAATTAGAATTATCTCCTGTAACATGTGGAGGTTTAAAAAGTGTTGGCAACGTCCATAGTAAAGAAAAACCCACTATAATGTTTTTTGATGTTAAAGAATCAAAGCATGGACGTATTATAACTACTTCAAATAATCCAAATTACAGTATTAGGGTCCAATCACGCACCCATTGGAACACCGTGGGCCTAAAATATTTTATACATTATTTGATGTGGCCATATGAATTGATACGATATTGAAATACAGTACATAGTTTTTTAATCCCGTAATACTTACTATACTACCCGTTTTCTACGGAAGGGAATTGTATTCAATTTCATTACAACGATAGAAGTCGTACAATTCAGTCCTTTGCATGCTTTGGCGTTAATAGATTACCCTGTGAAATTGTCATTAAAAGAACTTCTGGTTATGGGTTTGTTTTTTATTTACTTTTTTGACTACAATTGCATACGGAATACACATTGTGTCAAAATATCAATTGTCAGAAAAATACCTATTCAAAATTATCAAACTCTTACCTCGTAAAAGTACCTCTTTAATAACCATTATCATGAAGGATATGGAGATATCGAACAGTATTCAATATCCATAAAACAATACAAAATAGGAGCAGAGCAAACACGGACCTCCAAAAACATCAGAGGTGGGATCAGGTGCCAAGGAGGAGTGAACATCCCCTGCAGACTGATCACACCCGCCGTGTGCTCTTTGTCAGGACCGGGAAATAACGGAAAAATCCGTCGTAAATTCAGTGTTTAAATAATGGACTAACAATTAGTATGAAAAACGTCAGTCAGCATTTGACTCAGTGATAAATTGTATTTGCTGACAATGTCATTGTATTGACCATAGAACTTACGAAATGATGGCTTTTAACGAGATTGCTGATATTCTTGTTTCATCAACTTGTTTGTCAATAATTGACCTTATTTTACAAATTGTTTATACGTAGAGCATGCTCTTGCGTATCGAATCAACTGAGAAATATAAACTCCGTATGCAGGTGATGAAGGTTTATTGCTGCATAAGAAGGGAAGTTGACGATAGAAAAGTTAAAGTCATCACGTTTGTGATAGAGCTTGGTTGTTAGATTACCAATAATGTCTTTTTCAAGTAAAATATCCAAGTATGAAACAGTTGTATCATACTCTGTGGTATCTTTTATCTCAAGCTCACCAGGATATATCGTATCGACATGGGAATGGAAATTGTCATCCACGTGGACATCCATCTGAGCTGAGATTACATTTGAATTATCAAAGTGTTGCGTCTATCATGCAAGATTAAGAATAACAACAATCGGGCAACAAAAGAATTGGTAAATCTTTACTGAATAAACACATGTGAATTATAAGTTTCCCTTTATTCTAATCAATCTAATAAGTACAATGACATGGCTTGCCCTGCAAAACAGAAAGAATAATGAGAACATTAAAGTAATAACTAACTCATACAAATAATGTATTTTTGCATATTAGTCAGTAAGAGATAAAATTAATTCAAAACATGGGCAAACTGATAATGCATATATGAAGTTAAAAATAAATAGACTAATAATGATAAGTTAATAAATAAATAAGAATAAATGACAAAATACCCTTCATTTATCATGCAACAAATGCTCTACCTATAAAATGATGTAATACTAAATTAAAATGGCTTACCATGGGTTTCTCACAAACGAAATGGTTAACTTGTCCACAGCTATCAACATGCCAGTGGTATTTGTAAGACTTCCAGAAAATACCACAATTGTAGTCCCCAGTTTCGTGATAAACTGGTTCCTGACCGTACCAGTCAAATTTGTGGCATGGCTTGACGGTGAATCCCCAGCACCATCTATGTTTGTTTGGCCTCAGAACATCATTCAAAGCCAGCCATGCACCTCTTCTGACTGCACAAAAAAGATACATTTTACACACCAGAATATAAATTTCAAAACAAAATTCTTCAGGTAAAACTTTCCGTTGAATGCGTATGACTTACATCCATAGACGCTCAACATGTGTCTGACGTAGGTGTTTTCGTGAGACTGGTCAACGGAGACGAGGTATCCTCCCATGGCGACACATCTCATCTATAGATAACAGATGTTCTTACTTTTACTCATCTTTACTTTCTTACGTGTACATGTACAAGTGTTTTAGACTTAGTCTTTAGTTTAGTTTTAACGTCTCTTCTGTTTAGTTTTTTTAAATTTATTATACTCAGATTTAAAACAATAATGTTTAGATATGAGAAATTAGAGTCGAAATTTCAAGGAAATACTTACAGAAGCCTTGTACCAGTTGAGCTTGGTTCTGCTGAACCAGTAACAATGTTTGTTGTACTGATGCCATCCATGTGGACATCCACCTGAGCTGAGAGCAGCAGCATACTTGAAGGCGTTGTACCTAGGTCTGTTTCCATAGCTAGCCTCAGAAACTGTGGAAGTATTGAATTTGGTAATAATTGACCATTCACCTTTTTTACATAATATAATAATCTCGAACTGATTAAGATTTTAACAAAAGCATTTATTATTATTTTACAAGAGAGAATAATATACAACTGTTTACATGGTAAGCTATTTTGTGATTATCAGAGAGGTAAAAATATTCCTTATAACTCATTAGAAAATAATTTGACTCTGAGTTTTAAGGTTGATTTTTTAAATAGTAAGGTAAACTGCTCATATATTTTCAAAATACTTTAAAATTTTATGCAGGAACTTAAATAAGTATATTTGTTGCCTAAAGACTAACCATTGCTTACAAGTACATATTGAACTTATAAAATAAAAAGATGATTAAAAAGTGAACTAAGTGTAAATTTAAATTATTTGTAGCTACCTAATTACAACTAAATTTCAATTCATATTTGTATCAAGTTCTCTACATTAACTAAAGAACTAATATGGGTTGATTATAGCAAACATAAAAATGCTTGTTCAGTTTTTTTTTTTTTAAGGTTTGATATTTTTTTTTATTGTTAAGGTATCAAGCTTATTACATATGATAGGTGAAAAACAAATTCAGAATTACAGTATGAATATACAGAATCAAGAAAAAATATTCTGTGTCCAGAAAATACTACTCACCAGCAACAATGGCAGCTATGACCAAACAGGCTAAAATGACTTGATTCATCTTTATGGAATCAGAGAATGTTGCTAAGAAAGAAGCACAGATCATTTATATACTGTAAGGGACACTGGTGACAAACGGTTACAGACCCGCCAAAATTATGCTAGTTAAATCGAGCGTAATTTATGCTTGCTAGAGTAACACATTTGCTTTCCAAACTCAGCAAATATTTTCATGTTTGGTAATACTCCAATTAGTAATCGCTTGAGCACCTGATTTTTTTGTACATGCTTGCCAAATGAACCGTAACACAACAAGTACATATATTTGTGGAGTGGAGGGGGATAGGCACAGCTCAGTCTGAATCTGAAGCAATGAATTCATTTATTGCGGTCGTTCTTTTAGTATGCGTCCTTGCAGGTAAAACTGGATTTACCTTTAAATAATTTGTTTGATTTTCTAAATCTGATCAAATGCAACAGGTTTTATATTTAGAAGGTTTTTTTTGTTTAATCTTAAATTAGATTTTTATCTTTAATAAAAATGTTTTCTCTTTTTTGTAGTTGTTGAGGCAAGCTACAATTACGCCCCTAAATACAGCAAATTCGGGTATGTAGCCGCCAAGGTTGCTTCAGGCACTTGTCCATACGGATGGTCACTGTACCACGGCAGCTGTTATTATTTCAGCCGAGACAAACTCACATGGTGGCAGGCAGAGGTACATGAATTTGAACATTTTAATTAGATTTAACCTAGTTAAACCATGAGCGATAAGTAAATGTTACATTTTCGAACTTTTAGTGTACAATTAATGGGATTTCATGTGGTTTTGATGACATAAGAAAATGTAAATTGAGTGTTTTGGGACAAGAAATACAAAATGGTTCTTGCAAATGTTTTTAGTTAAGATTTATTAATTTTTCTGACTCCAAGTGTACCTCGATTCTTCTGTGCGCAATTTACCTTATTTTCAATTAAGTATAACTTACCCTACTATTTTATGAAGCAACATTATGATACACTCCATTTCATTTTTGGCAAATTGTAGATGAGATGTGCGTCCATGGGAGGATTCTTATGTAATGTGGATGAAGCTCATGAAAATACATACGTCAGACATCATCTGGCCATGTATGGAGGTAAATAAAACCATCTTTAAAAACCTTGGTTTTTTTTGTTAGTTTTGTATTAATAAATGCGAGGGACTTAAGTTAGGTATTTATAAGTCATACAGTGTATTGCATTTAACTGTCTTTCAAGCTTAAACAAAGAAACGTTATCTGTTTTGGTATGTACGCGTTTGTTTTTATCTAACTGTGTATTCAGATAAATAAATAAATTTTGGCCTTGATAATTCTTTTTTAAATTATTTTTTGTGAATAGAACTAATGTAACTATAAAGACATGGAGCAATGCTGCTATCTCGTCTGTAACTTAATTGTATGAGATTAAATTTAGACAGTATGGTAGTTACCGGTATTATTTATACCCTTTGAATGGAATATGACCAATAATGTTTTTTTTAATATTTCATTAAGTGTCCCCTGGAGCCTGGATGTCCCTGAACGACTGTCTCTACCCTAACGCTCACAGATGGAGATGGGGATTCACGAAAAGGCGATGCCACAAGTTTGACTGGTACGGTAGTGAGCCCGTGTACCACAAAGAAGGGGACTGGAATTGTGGAGTTTTCTGGCAGCATTACAAATACCACTGGCATGTGGACAGCTGTTCTCATAAGAACTACTATGTCTGTGAGATGAAACTGGTATGAATATGATTCGACTGTTGTTTTTAAATGATTCGATTTTTTAAAATTTAATATACTGATTTTATCACTAATTTAATGTTTTTATCCACAGGGAAAACCTTGCAAGTGCCAATATTAAATATAGAGTCTTGTATGCAATATTAAAAATAAAATTGGGACAACGTATTTTCTATTTGTAATAATTTCCATTGTAAAAGGAAAATATGACCACCGTTAATAAATGCAACATACAGAAACGATGACAATACCACCACCACTTGAATGAAGAATTACACGCGATATGGAATACACTTTCATCCGAAGAAAAATTCTTTCAATAATAAAAGTACATCTTCATTAAAATACCTGATAGAAAAAATGCACTCAATAGTACAATTTTTATCTTTATCTACAATATTAAAGAAGTGCAAAGATAAGAAAAAGATCTACCTAAAATATCGGTAAGAGTCCCTATAAGGTGACAGTTTTTCTCCAGTAATGCCCACGTCACCATCCTCTGTGCTTATATAGTGGTACAACCGGGATCTGACAAAATAATGTCACTTCTGTAGACGAAACCTTAATTTGCCGCTATGCTTCTGCTTTTGATTTTTTACCATATAAAGATAGATACATATATAAAACTTTTCAACAACCTGAAATGCATAATGTATTTATGCCTGTGTACTTTGTTTTACGAAATGATACTTTCAAGCACAAACTTCCTCTTATTCCTTCCAAAAGTGGATTCTAGAAAAAAAGAAAACATTTCTCATTTTAATATGATTTATAAAAAATTAAATCTGTTGGATTTCCTTAAGATTGAGGACTGTATTTACCATAAACGGCACTAATGTTTTTGTTGAAGACTGTAGCATCATCACAGTTCGCGGGGACCAATGTTCGTACATTCCATTTGTCATTCTTACAATTCTTTTCTCAAGAAATAACGAGGGCATTGTAATCGTATTTCTTTAGTGAAAGTTACATCTATATAAATGCAAGTTGCCCTTGAAACTTTGTCCTTCTGTACGCGTAACATTTTGGTTACCTAAGAACATTGTCCCCATAAATAAAAAAAATTATTTCATGGTATTCCAAATAAAATATACTCCATACGTCAATTTAAGTTGGATCAGATGAGAAGAAATAATATGAATAAAATTGTTGTCTTCCTCCTTGATATTTAGTAAAAGTGTAATTTAAAACTCGTTTCTAATAAAAAGCATTCAAATAAAAACATTATGAAGAAACTGTAAGAAAACAATAACAGAGACAGAAAAATATTGCATTTTTATCCAAATAAACTTATCCAATTTTTTAAGGGTCAAATTAACTTTTTATTAACTAGTGTCTTGGACACCATTTTATATACAATAAAAATGAAACATTTATCTGCTATTTAATACATCTTTTAGCCTTTAAACATCAGTGGAAGGAGTAGGAGGGAGTAGGCCCTGGAGGATTAAAAATCCTATATCGAATGGTCATACACGCTATATGCTCCTCGTCATGATCGAGCTAAATAAAAGGAAAAATCCGTAAACAATTTAGTATGGAAAAAATAGTCTTACAAATTTCATGAAAAACGTCTATCAATATTCGACTTAATGATGGCTGCATTTGCTAGCAAGGTCATTTTATCAACTTTAGTTTTTGCAAAATGGTGAAGTTAAACAAGACAATTCATTATGTCATTAACATATTTGATAATAGCCTGTCTTGTTTAAGATATTTAGTAGAGCTTGTCCTTGCCTATCGATTCACCTGGAAGACATGAACTTGATATGCATGTTTAATTATATACTGCTTAATAAAAACAAAAAACGAAGTTGAGAATAGAACAAAATTATAACATTTAACAAATTTGTTTTATGGATAACTGATATGGCGGTGCTTTGTTTGACACAAATGAAAACGCAGTGTTGCAATTTGAATGGTCATTTAATAATAAATAAATGACAAAGCAAACAACATATGTCAACACATAGTATAACTGACAATACCAATACAATTAAACACATTGCGTAATAGAAACAAACGCATATAGCAAAAAACATCATAGAATCTTAAGTTCACAATATTATTCAATGAGGTACGCAAAAATGTACAGTAAACAGAATGCGTATTTCAGACCTAAACAGTGTCAAAGATGGGGCGTTAGGTAGCCTTTAATAAATATTCATTGTTAAATATTCAAGGAGACAATAGATGTATCAGAAGCTATGGTTCTTCTTTTTTCGAGTTCAAAATGATATTGTGATTATCATGGGAATGAAAATAAATATTGTTACATGTAACTGATTAAAAGGTCATAGATTTATTAAAATGCTACATTGAGGGCCTTGCAAGAATTTTTTCAAGTTGACTTTGTTAAAAAAAAATGAATACAAAACAGGGTTTTCTTATATTTTATAAATAATTAATCTGGAATACGTGTTTTAAATTTTGAAAAGACGTACGTTTTGATGATTTTTTTCTTAGTAAAATTTTAAGGTTACATATTTCCTAAAAGTTCCTTGCAGATTTAAAGTATCCATTTCTGCTTTATACAACTTCTTGATGTTGACAAAACTTCTGAAGTTTCTCCTTTGGTTAGTGTAATAGTTTGGTAAGAAGTAAAGTACGAAGATTGGGGATTTAAGACTTTAGAAATGTTCTCTTAGAAAACGTCATGGTCTGGAGTCATCTATTGTACGAAATTTTGAAATGCAAACTTTGAATGAAATTCTGGAAAACCTATTTTAAAATAGGAATCCTAGAGCAAAATTTAATTTAAGTTATAAGCCAGAGCAAAATTTAGATAATACAAATGCAATAAGAATGATCCATTGCCTTTATTCTGTTTTTATTCTATTTTATGTTTCAGAATATCATTTCTTCATTAAAAGAACAAGCAGGAATAAAACTGTACGTAAACTTAAATTACACAACAATCATTATGTTGATGCTTATGATTTTGGACCCGTAAAAATAATTTCTGAGTTTGTTCCTCATCTTTAAATAGATAACATGTAGATGTATAAGTGTATTTTCTTTTCACTAAAATACTTTGAGAACTTTAGATAAGGTGATCTAAAACATATTTTGAATTAATGCAAACAAGGGGAAAAACTTTGTGATAATTTTCTGACTTCTTAAGTTTTATTAAGGGAAAATTGACTATAATGTAACGTAAAAACAGTTCCTTTATGTGCATGAAATGGTCAAAAACAATAATTTCTAGGCTCGTGAAATGGTAAAATTTTATCCTTGACCAAAAACGTTTACTGAATAAATGGCTGACGCCACAGATGGACTGAATACATATATTGCATATATTGTGTAGGAAAAATATGATTTTTGTGAACTCAAAAAGGGAAAAGTTTTCAAAGCTGTAACTTTTTCCTTGGGAAAATCTGGACAGACAGATCATAACGCTACATAAGCAAGGATTGTAAATTCCTACCATTTTTGTCGCAATCTTTGGTATTACTAGTATTTCTTGCATCAAATGCGGTCCGTACCAAAGGCATGGTTATCATTAATCAACCAAATTATACTTGTAAAAATTCTGTATTCATCATTCAATTGTCACCCACATCATTAATCTTTGTTAGTATCTTTAATTCTAAATAAAAAATAATTGTCCAAATAAAATTCTGAAGATCTTTATATATTGCTGAAATTGTACTTTGGAAGGGATACTTTGATAAAGAAGAAAAAACGATGTCATGGAAATCAACTCTTTATTTAAAATAAACACTAGTAAGTACAACGACATGGTTTTCCCTAAAAATAGAAGAAAAGAATCATTTTTATTTAATTCATACTTTTTTTAAAAACCAATGTCGATTATAAACTCTCTTGACAAACATTGATATTCAACATACTAAGAAAAATGTATTTGGATGCAAGTACGACATACGAGGGTTGTTAGAAAAGTTCGCGGACACATTGAATTACAGAAAATCTATTGTTTACTGTGAAGTATGACCTATGACTGAATGAATTCCTACATTTTGTTTATTGGTATGTAAAAAATCAGGTCAATATAATAAAATCTTAAAATTTTACAACTATTTTTATTATGTGGTTATGGGATTCACGGAGCAATCACTTGACGTAAGGCGACGTGACAACCAGATTTCAACCCTTTAAGCTTTGTCGCAGTTCTATGAATCTTTAATTTCTTTATATTTTTCTCATATTTTTTCTACTTTAAAATTGAATATCTATATCAAGACATGTTACTTTTCAACTATAATGTCTTTTTATCTGTTTTGGATATTATTGAGATCTTAAAAAATAAAAAAATAAAAAGGCTGTGCATTCAATCGATCAGGTATGGAAACTATGCAAAACATAGGCGCAACGCAACGTCCATGCATAGAGGGGTATTTTCGATGTAGTTAATCATTTAAAATGTTTCTCCTTCCATTCTTATGAAGCTACAACCACTTGAAAACTTGTTCTTTGTATGTGTAGGATATTCCCGGCAGCATCTTAAACATTTTAGTCTCTTTTTAGACATTTTCCTGTCTGCACACATAATTTTTACGTAGTGCACTGCTCCATGCTCAATGACGTTCCAATTTTTGGCTGTGTTCTTACGCGTTGATCATTTATAAACAGCTATAAAACAGCCATATACCCTCCAATTTAGTTCAAACTTTTTCCCAGTGACGTTTCCTGCATACTTTAGCGGAAGGTAAAATATCATAAATCTCTTGGCACTACAATTGTGCAATTTTTAATTTTAATAAAGAGTCTTTGTGATGTAAACGTGTCATAATGCAGCATGCTCCATGAAGCAAGATTTATCAAAATAAAAATGCCGTATATTTTTCAATAATCACCGGAGAGCACCAAATTCTTGTATATTTATTGGAAAAAATGTCAAGATTATATCTGGAAAGTTTGACCGGTTTCATGGAAATAGCGCGATCACAATAGAACTTGTCCGCGAACTTTTCTAACACCCCTCGTATTATAATCAATGAAATTATTACTGTGTACATATGAATACAGTTCTTGACTTACCATGGGTTTCTCACAAACGAAATGGTTAACTTGTCCACAACTATCAACATGCCAGTGGTACTTGTAAGATTTCCAGAAGATACCACAATTGTAGTCTCCAGTTTCGTGATAAACTGGTTCCTGACCGTACCAGTCAAATTTGTGGCATGGCTTGACGGTGAATCCCCAGCACCATCTATGTTTGTTTGGTCTCAAAACGTCATTCAAAGCCAACCATGCTCCTCTTCTGACTACACATAAATATTTTTTACAATTTATAAATAGATGAATTCAAAACAATTAAAAAACGTTCTCATTGGGTACTCATAACTTACATCCATAGACGCTCAGCATGTGTCTGACGTAGGTGTTTTCGTGGGACTGGTCAACAGAGACGAGGTATCCTCCCATGGCGACACATCTCATCTACAGATTATAAGATAATTGGCGTACTTCTGATCATTGTCCAATTCAACAAAAAAATGTTTCCTTCTGAGATATTTCAACTTCTTTTCATTTGGTGTATCTGAGAAATCTCTCTCTTTCTTATGGAGATGGGATGGGGGTCATATGGTCAATGTGATGATACGCTGCAGCGAGAATTTTAAAATTTTGAACTTACAGAAGCCTTGTACCAGTTGAGCTTGGTTCTGCTGAACCAGTAACAATGTTTGTTGTACTGATGCCATCCATGTGGACATCCACCTGAGCTGAGAGCAGCAGCATACTTGAAGGCGTTATACCTAGGTCTGTTTCCATAGCTAGCCTCAGAAACTGAATTTTACAAATAAGTGTCAAGCTCAGAATTCTTACAAGTCCAAATGTTTTATCACGAAGGTTGTCTGGTGAAGGTCAAAAACAATTTTCGAAGTTGTTTTTTCTCAACTAGATTATATTTTAAGAATTCCAATGTTCTTTTCTCCAAGAATATATTATAATAAAATCCATAAGTTGTAAAAGTTGTAAAAAGAAATGACCGGAGATATTTAAGATTTTTATTCTTTCGACAATGTAATTAAACAAAACAGATTTTTGTACGATATTTAATTAAAAAAATTGCACTATATTTGAACATTTCACGGAAAAGTATTATACCGATCATGCTGATATTCCGTATTTTTAAAGTATAAGATACACTTATTGGCAATGTTACTCACCCGCTACAATGGCAGTTAGGATCAAACTGGCTAGAAGAAAGGAATTCATTTCGTGGAATCAGTGAATGATTCTTTGGGAGAAAGATGACGAGCTTATATAGTGTTTGGGTTAAAATAATTTTTGCACAGGCCTGCCAGAATCATGTGTGTTCAATCGTCTGTAAACCTTAAGTAGAAGACAACTACGTTGTGATCGTGCAAATTCAGCAAATATGTGTGTTTTACCTAACATCTCAATTATTTATCATTACAATAAAATATTAATCGTTTCACATGTTTTGCTAAATGTACCATGAACCGACAGGTATATATGCTGGCGGTAAACTGTAGATGTACAGTTACTTTTGAGACTGAAGCCATGAACATCTTTATTGCTACCGTTCTTCTGATAAGCCTTTGTGCAGGTAAAACAGAAATAATTTTAACAGTTTAACATATTCTTATTTCATTCGCTTTTTCATTCCAATTTTTTTTTACAATATTCGCCTCATTTAAGATGCATCAGTGATGAATTAGTTCAATTTTAATTTGTGCTAAGAGATGTGTAAAATTATATACATTCAATTTTATTTAGTCATCGACGCCAGTTACAATTATGCCCCTAAATACAGCAAATTCGGATATGTAGCCGCCAAGGTTGCTGCAGGCACTTGTCCATACGGATGGTCACTGTACCACGGCAGCTGTTATTATTTCAGCCGAGACAAACTCTCATGGTGGCAGGCAGAGGTATATAAAGCTTTATTTAAGTCTTTTATTTTTTTGTTTACAAACAGCCCACCATGGAAAAAGTCTTATCCAACTCCTTTTGAAAAGCAAATTAAAGCGTGTCAGTCGGTTATCAATGTTCATATAAATGTTCATCTCAATGAAATAAAAAGCATTGTTATTTTTATAGATGAGATGTGCGTCCATGGGAGGATTCCTGTGTAATGTGGATGAAGCTCATGAAAATACATACGTCAGGCATCACCTGGCTATGTATGGAGGTAGGGATCTTCATAACTGATCTGAGCTGAGAAATTATTATATAAATATTGCATGTAGTTGAGTATAACATTGAAAATTTTCACCCCAAGAAAACCATTGTCAACCGAGGCGCAGCCGAGGTTTTCGAGGGGTGAAAATTTTCAATGTTACACTCAACTACATGCAATATTTATTATATTATACTGAATTTTTATACAAATAAATATAACAGCGAATCGTACACGCATAAATTCTGCGCAGTCGCTATTTTTTTTTTTGGAATATCACCGGTCGTCAAGCACTGTTGACTGTTGCTACGCTGGAGGGCGTGGCTTCATTATTCAGCTGGTAATAGTGTTTCTTAACAAATGTTTCTCGACCAATCAGATTCAACTAATTTACATGAAAGTATAATATATGTATATATCTAACATATTTATTATGTAAATGGATGAAATACATGTACTAGTTCAAATTAAACACCAGAGCTGGGATCAAGTTTTTTTTAACTTGAACTCAAGGAGGACAATTTTTTGTATAACTGGAATAAAAAACATTTACCAGTAGGCCTATCTTCCATTGTGCATTCATGTATTCTTTTTTTTAAATTATGTTATATTTGATTACTTTACATCTGCATGTATTTTGTTCGAATAAATTCAGATTACTTTTTAAAATTTTTGGAAAGAGCATTGATTACTCTCAATGAAAAGATTTCAAGTTACTAAGTATTTTGTCAAAGAAATAACCATGCATGTTCGAAAAATTCGTGAAAATTGCCTTTACAATGTGTATAAATTAAATAAGATATGAAAATTTTCAAGATATTTGTTATGTAATTTCATTCTAAGTGTCCCCCGGAGCCTGGATGTCCCTGAACGACTGTCTCTACCCTAACGCTCACAGATGGAGCTGGGGATTCACAAAGAGGAGATGTCACAAGTTTGACTGGTATGGTAGTGAGCCCGTGTACCATAAAGAAGGGGACTGGAACTGTGGAGTTTTCTGGCAGCATTACAAATACCACTGGCATGTGGATAGCTGTTCTCATAAGAACTACTATGTCTGTGAGATGAAACTGGTAAGGACTTAAATCATTTACATAACTGCAATTTTTTTTCTCTAATAAATGAAAATCGTTATACAGTCACTAACAATATTTTTTTCTTTTCGCTAAACAGGGAAAACCTTGCAAGTGCCAATACTAGATGTTAGATATTACGTCAATAAAACAAATAAATTCATTTCAAAGTATTTTAAATTCATTTTGTATTTTACTGTCGTAATTATTTCTCTAAAAAAAAAGTCAAAGATAAATTAATCATTGATCTGCTTGTGCGTTAAATCCATTTTTACGGCCTGTACACTTTCGATTTGTGAGAAAGATCGGTTCTGAAATAGGGGACGTATCATTCATAACACCTCACTCTCTGCTAAAAAGACTATTCCTACATTCATCTACATTTTAACTATTACTACAAGTACTTTTCATTCAATGTTATGCCCAAAAGAGTTGACCAGGCCTGCAATTAGGTCTTAACCTCACCTTTTACCCCTTCCTGCTAACCGACCAATCTTGCAATGCATTGAAAGTCCATCTTTATTTGCAAAACATACATATAAATATATATAATACTGGTAGTGTTTGGATAAAAGTAACTTCTGAAGTTTTAAATTCGGGAAGGATCCATTGAATAAAAAGAAAATTTCTGTAGTGCATAGAGTTTTCTCAAAAAAGAAAGAATTTTTTCGTGATTTTTTTTAAAGTGACGTTTGTTTAATTACCCGAAAGTTTCTTTATGATGTATTTTTTATACTGGTTGTCGATTTTCTCAAAATTGTCTACGTTTACAATCTATCTTCAAATATTGCTAAGATAAGAAGAATTAAATAGATCCTATTTTTATGTACCTAAAAAAAATGTTTCAAATGGCTCCAATTTTCCCATTTGTCAGCATTTTGAGACATGTTTTGTTATATTTTCCCCGAGACCGACCGTCACATTTATTTAATTTGATTTTTTAAGGTAGGATTCTTCTCACATTTCTTGTATTTAAAAATTAATGAAATTTTCACAGAATCAAGAGGACAATATCACTAAGTGATGGTATCAGTGAGATTAAATTTGACCGCTTAATATTAGAGGCAAGGTCAGGTCAAGGTCATTACCTTTTTCCTGGACATTAAGAATAAAAAAATTACTGTTTCCAATCATACGATTCCTACATGTAATTCCAAAGATTGAATGTTTTTCTTTTTGCATAAAAAGATACTACCATATAGGGCCTATAAGGTGATATTACCAAATTGACATGGATGATTTAAATAAAATGGATATTTGCTAATCCGAATTTCCTCTACTTTTCTTAAATTTTAAGGATTTATTAGTTATTTTTATAAGCTTCCTATATTTAACTTTTTCCAATTTTCACATATAGTAAAGCTGTTACATAAAGGTACAAAATGATACAAAAACTAAAAGTTTTGATCATTTACAAAGAGAGAAATAACACTTTTTACGGATTTTTGGCTCAAATCTGTACTTAGATTTGAAGCATTAAAAAGCCAACATAGTTCTAGTATATGTGAAAAATTTTATTTATTTGATATATTTTGAAACTTAAGTCCCTTATTATTAATTTAACTTACATTTGAAAATTTCGTCTGGTCTTTGATAGCGTAAAAATTATAACTTAATTCAATGTTCTATAATAATTTTGAGAGGCATAAAAGAAGATATTTTCATACGCCACCATTCCGCCAAAAATATAGTCCCTGCTACTTTTCAAACGCAGTTTACCATTTCTATTTAAAGTTGTATAATTGTGATGAGGAAAGAAAAATATGGTCTTTTAAATCTCTTACATCTAAATATATAAGACATATCAAGAAATGTACTTTGAATATTCCATCTAGTCAGAAACCAGAGAAGAATCCTACCTTAAACATAGAAATTAGTCTTTAGACCTTCTTTCAAACAAATAGTGTTCAATCAATTTTAGGAATTTTATCAATATTTGACATATACCTTCAATGAGTCGCATGTCAAGCCCTGACTACCAAGATACAAATGACATGCAATTTTAAATACTTGTAAAAATGTACTACTTTTATACTGTCAAATCTTATACGTAAAAAGAAGAAAATACTCGCTGTGGCCTTCAACTCAACATCTTTGTATATCGACGACGTATTGTCAGTCAACAATGGTTGTCATCGTCAATACAATATATCCCAGTGAGCTTGAAATTAAAGATACCACAGAGTCTGAAACATCTGTTTCATCATTGGATATTTTACTTGAAAAAAGCATTAATGGTAATCTAACATGCAAACAAGCATTATTATGAACGTGATGACTTTAACATTTCAATCGTCAACTTCCCTTACCTATGCAGCAAAATACCTTCATCACCTGCATACGAGGTTTAAATCTTTCAGTTGATGCGATACGGAAAATATGCAAAAGCATGCTCTACGCATGAACAATTTCTAAAACGAGGTTAGTTATTGACAAACAAGTTGATGAAACAAAAATATTATTAGTCTAGTTTAAGGTCATCAATTCGTAAGTTCTATGGCCTTGTCAGCAAATACGTATACTACTCAGTATTTATCATTTAGTCAAGTGCAAACTGACGTTTTCATACATATTATTTGACCTTTATTTACACACTGAATGGTCTACGGATTTTCCGTTATTTACCGATGATGACAAGGAGCACAAGGAGGGTATGGCCTGTCGGTAGGGAATGCTCACTCCATGGCACCTGATCCCATCTCTGATATTTTGCATGTCCGTGATTGTACTGCTCCAAAATTGTATTGTATAGAGAACTTTTGAGCCTGAATACTGTACCTTTGATTGATTGTTTGTTAGTTTGGTTGTTTATATCCTGATTAACGTCCCCCTCGAGATTTTTCACTAATATGGAGAAGCCACCCCATCATGATGGAGAGCTGCAAATTTTGTCTTATACTCGGCTTTGTGGCCATTGAGCAGTGATTGATCTTTTTCGTGCCAGCACCTACTGCGACATGGGACCTCGGTTTATATGGTCTCATCTGAAGGATCGGTCTCCAGGTCCTACAAAGGGATTCGAACCCGCGACGTAAGGATCAACTCCTTAACACAGGCACCTGACGAATGGATAGTTACCTCCCGATTCTGACATTTGTTACTATGGGGAGGTAAATGCAATATTTATATCATATTGTAAATTTTGCATTTACCTCCCCTTAAAAATTCAAAGTTTACATGATGACAATTTTACCGCTGACAAATTATTACACAAAGTTGTATCCTTTACAGCTGGAGGCGTAGAGGAGTAAACTAAAAAGCCAACAACCTTAAGAGTTTGATTGTTAAAATATCGTTTTAATTAATGTTTTTAGAAAAATCATAAATATATTCATGTAGTTCAAAAAATGCATGGAACAATCAAGAGTGCTTGCAAGAATATTGCTGTGAAGCATCGTAACTATGCAGCTTTGGTTGTTGATACTTCTCTATAGATTCTCCCGCACGGACTATCCTGAACGCGGCTAATGTTGACTTGATAACCTTTGTACTTGAAGTGATTTCCTGTATATTTCACACGTTGTGCAAAACTAATATGTATATAATCTTCGAAAATGTTTATCAAGTTTTGCGAATAGAGTAAGAAATGAATTGTTGGAATTATAAATGTTTATTCATTCATACTTAACACTCTACATTCTTTATGCTGTTAATATGAATTATGCTATTGTGTAAATATTAGGGATGTTCATATGTATATTTTAACACTTTTAAATTATACATTCTTTATGCTGTTAATATGAATTATGCTATTGTGTAAATATTAGTGACCAAGCACCACCCCAGCTGGCTTTTCTCACCTTCGGTTGCCTTCTTCCCTTATTTTTTGTTTCGCTTTAATTATTTGTTTTCACTGAACACCGTTTAAGATCCATTATGTTTAAATAAATTAGATAATTTTGTCAATTCTACAAGAAGCCGTAAATTCTCGGGAAAAGAGCGATTGTTGATATGGTTGTGTTTGATTACATGCCAAAACAACTGGCTGAAGGCAAAGGCTTTAAAAAAAACTTATGTCCATTGTTGCATCAAACTACAAAATACCGTCCCGTAATACTATATAAATCTCGGATCGAACAAGTGTACTAAATTCGTAAATCCGCTCTGTTAGGAGAACTTGATCAAGTTCAAGTTGATACTGTACGTAGCTCTGACGACTGATACCTGGTCGTCAAACGCGACAAAGAGTTACCTTACAATTAGAGAGCAGATTTTTTTTTAAAAACAAAAACACTGTGAACAGCTTATGATTTTATTTCTTGTGTTTATCTGATAAATAAATTGAATTTAAAAATTGTTATATTAAAGAACGAGGGCGCTTTTGATTGGCATTCGACAGGAATTTGGGCGTAATTGAAAAGTGAAAATTTTATCGACATGTCACATGAAATTTTTACATTTTTTTTATTTATCGGGATCCTATGCAACAGGAAAGGAAAATATTTTCCTGAAATTGAGCTTGGATTTGCAAAAAACTTGAAAATTGGCCAAATCAGACATTTGGTACAAAATGGTACATTTTTAAATACGTTTTTCTAAAATTTTTCTATCTCTGGGTCTTCTCTCCATGATTCTGAAACGTTATTTGTATGCACTTTTATTCAGAGAAACGAATACACATTTCTAAAAAATGGAGAGAAGACCCAGAGACCACGAAAAATTAACTTTTCTCCAAAAAATCCAAAGGTGTAAATGTGGTGCTTCTTTGTCCTTTTTATGTGTAGCGGTGATAGCTCAGTAAGTAGGGCTACCTGTTCAGTGCGCGCGAAGCGAGAAGTTTTTGGTTCGAGCCTGGCATGTGTCATTCATTTTTTTTAATGCAAACAACCATTTATTTTGTCAGTTTCGTTTTATGTACTGATGTATTAAAATTTTGAATTAGATAAATTTTGGTTCAGTTTGGTTCTTGAGCGAAATCAATTCCAAGCTTCTATTCTATAATGTACAATCTCATGTACACGTATCATGAATCTATGCATTAAATATTTTAGGTGTTTATTTTTTGTGAAACATACTATGTTATAGTACCTCCTAGGAAAAACAGACACAAATGATACAATCTTACAAGGTCTTTCATACTAAATAAAAAAAAACTATGGACGTGTTCGTAAAATCTGACCAGCTATGTTCAGCCAACCAAATCATGGACATTTAAACCATAAAAGTTTCGTACAAATGATTCCTGCAGATCACACGCCAAATGCGCCCATCTTCTTTCGTCGTCGGGCACGAAGTGCTCATCATTATTACAACAGAAATACATTTACGGAAAGCCTCCTATCAGTGCTTCTGGTTTTATTTCTACAAGAGTTTACTTTACAATGTTTTACAGTCGTCAATTTACTTGTTCATATTTATTTACACTTTTACCGAGTATCCGGGTACTCGATCGGAAAAACGTCCGAGTAACCGAGTAGTGAAAATTGACCAATTTGACATCCCTAGTAAATATATAAATAATATATTTATACTTATGAGATGTATGTCTCTTGTTTTTAATAAAATCTGAAATCTGAATTCATTAGCGTTCACTTCAACTTCAAGCGAAAAAAAAATGCTGAAAAAAACTGTATGTTTATTCTAAAAAAATTATGCTGCCGTCTGTCCTCCTTGATATGTTTTTCCCCACTCTTATATTTATATACAGTCTGGCCAGAGGTACAGTGTACATGTAGAAAACATGACAGAAGACATGTTTTTAATGCTCATTACCCCCATGTACTAATAGCTTGGTGTAGGTGAAATAAGTTGAACTGAACTGAAAAAAAATCATTGAGCGCGCGCATGGGGGGGGGGGGGTTCCGCCATTGAAATAATTTAGGGAATAACTATCTTCTAATTTGGTATTTGCGACCGTTAATGCTGATTTAACGGTCGCAAACTGAGAAGATTAGTTATTCCCATTCTAATGCAATAAATGCATTTTGTTTGTTGTTTACATCTTATTTTGTTGAATTTTGTTATATGAAATATGGAGCATTGTGTTTTTGCATCGCTCTATTATGACGTCACAATGAAAAAGCTTTCAGGCTCGTTAATGCTCGTTTTACTGCTTCAAACATCAGTGCATTAGCCAATCAAAACGTGTTTTACAAAACGATTGCATTAGAATGTCAAATAACCGAACTCCTCGATCCATGGTTTCATCTTTTTTTATTTTTTTATGTTTGGTATTACTTTGCTATCAATGTTAGAATAAATGTTACTGTAAATAAAAAAAAAAAATCATCGCAGGTTTTGAGCGACAGAGCTAACGTTTGGCTTAAGAATTACCGAAATAACTATTCCGTCCGTGTTCGGTTTTTCTTTTTACATACATATAAATAATTTCCGGGTAAAATTTTGACTTTCCTCGACGTATTTATTGTTGTTGTTTTTTCTACAGTATTAAAAAATTCTGCAACAGAAGGTAAGTGTATTTCTGGTAGAAATATAGAACCCTGATATTTTTGTTCCATTTTTTATTTATCTACCAGGACATTTAACTCTTGCACTAGGAGCTGCCATGCCTGCTCATTTTCTTCCTTGGCATAATAAAAATCGGTATTAAATATACTATAATTGAAAAAAGCACTTTAAATATGTTACACATGTTTTATTCATGTTTTTATTCAGTACAGATTAAAGTTTCATAAGGTGTAGAGAAAGTATACTGTCTGTACTGTACACCCAACCACAGATCTGGTACAATCATTAGATTTAGCTACGTAGCTTGATTTACCTTCTTAGCTTTATTTACCTACCTGAAGTAGCTTTATTTAGCTACCAAATCAATTTATTTCTATAAATAACCATTTTTCTCTCATTTTGATGCAGTGATCATTTTCAACTTTGAACTCTGACATCTGAAAACAATTCATGAAAAAATCACTCTTGAAGAAATGTTTTTTTCTGCGCAATCGAAATCAAAGTTCTGAAAGTTTTGGGGCTATGTACAACAGTAAGAACAGTTACTCTTTGAATGAAATGACAAAGAAGTCCAGTTCCGGTTAACATGATAATAGGTCGGTAACATCTTCGCTAGCCAAGGTTTCTGATACGCTTCTCTCCTCATAATCCCTTGGCATACAGTGTAGTCAAAAGACAAAATGGTTTTCGTCACATGATCTTGAATCTATCAGGTATGCACAGATTGCGTCATCGACAGAAATAAAGACACATGTTTAAAAAAAAAATTCAATCAAAGTTTTTTTCAAGAATAATTAAGAAGCAATAAGTGAGTAATGTTTATTTATCATTTATAGTACAAATCTGAAGCTTCAATATACATTCTTAATCACATATTTAGAAGATATTGGATGACACCATAGCTTTTCATAGAATTGAATGTTATCTTACGGATCGTTGTTTACTTGTGTTTTTCATTCCCGAGATTAAAGAGTCAAGAAATATCCCGGACGCAAATAACGTCATTTGCAAAAAAACAATTGCTGATTGGTCGACCGGCCCAATCAGAGCTCGAGAAAAAAAACCTTCTATCAACACCGTATGCCAAGGGATTATGAGGAGAGTAGCGTATCAGAAACCCTTGGCTAGCGAAAATGGGTAATTATTCAGCAAAATGTGAAATAATCATACTCATCCATGCCTCACCACACACAATAGAAAGGACAGTTACCCAAACAACAGAATTACACGTTTTGCTAAATTGTCCAAACGCAGCAATGTATAAACTATTTCTGCTTTGGATTGCTTTTTAAAACCTCCCTAGTATAAATATTAATAGTCATTTAATTGTGATTTTTTGTCTCTTTTTAATAGAAAGAAAAATTTTGAAAAGTTGCAGTGATTGAGTGAAATAGCTAAATAAAGCTACCTGAGGTAGGTTAATAAAGATACATAGGTAATTTTACCTATGTAGCTAAATCTAGTGATTGTACTGGACCAGAACCATTTGATGCTGAAACGCTGATAAATTTTTTTTTAATTTCAAGAATATTGGGCAATCCATATAAAACTGAACCAAAGGCAGAGTGAATTGCCACAAAATCGGTGCATTCAGATATATATTTATATTATAACAGAGTTTTACCCTTGAATCATGGGTTGTGGCATGAGCATTCAGCTGCATTTATCATGTTTATATGTGATACATGTATAGTAAATTATAGAATATTTATTCAAAATTTACAGACAAAATGCTAAAGTGAGCTAGTGTGAATGGACAATTAGCCCCAATCAGAATATCCTTCAGTATAGACAATGCCAGTGGACAGTAATAAACCAGTGTCAAAGTTAAAGGGCAGTCGCAGGAGGGCCCAGACGAGTGAGGAGGTTCACTCCCCTCCCATGCTGAGATTTGACTCGGATGTAGATATAATGCCCCCTCATGTCAGGTAAGATTTTGTGTTCTTTGTCTATCTGCATAACAATTTAATATAAAATTGAATTTTTGATTGTTTTGTATTTTTTAATATGTATCATATGAACTTTATAAACATAGGTTAATCAATATAGAATTAATTATTTTATTTGCAATTATATTATAGAAAGAGGCTCCATGATCTATTTTCACAGATTGAGAAGGAATTCGAAACACTCTATGCTGAAAATATAGCATGTGAGTATCTATGTCTGTATGCCTGTACTAGCAAATTTTACAAATGACTTACTGCCAATGCAGATGTTTGAAGGATGTCATGTATAATGAAATCTGTGAATGAATTTTCTTAAATATTTTATTTTTTTGTGAATTTATATAATTATTCATCATGACACTTTAATCATATTAATACTTACCACTATTTTCTTCTGATCACCTCTTTAGTACAGGAGAGATTGGATGCCCAGACAGAGAGAGCTGAGGCCACACACAGGGAAGCTGGCTCTGTAGACAATACAGATAATTCTGACATCAGCCTCAAACCAAAACGATGTAAGTGTTTCCATAGTTAAATCTGCATTTTTAACGCATGACATTGGGCATGTTTGTTTTTTTATGTTTTCATTGTATACAAAGTATCCAGTAAAGGAAAGTAAAATTGAAAGGAATGATTTGTACAGTATATTGTTTTATGTAAAACACCTTGATTTTAGTGGCATTTTATTCACTCGATTCACTTGTAGTTCACCCCCTTCTGCTACCCTAATTCTTTTGTATGGTCTATGTCCAGATAATGATTTAATTTGTAAAATTTCTTAACTTGCAGCAGGACATGATATCACCCGACAATCTTCTGGTAAAGCCTACTTTTACTGCTCAGTGTTTATCCATGTCATTGCTGTCTATAACATGGTAATGTTACTTGTTTAGTTTAATATTTCTCTTCTTCTGCTTGCAGCAGCTAGTCAGATTTCCCAGAAGATTAAAACAACCTACAAGGCTTCCACCAGTAAACTAGTCTCCAGCTTCCGTAACTCCTCACTCTTGTTTTCTGTGGTGCGGAAGTTTGAAGGTCACAGAGATGGGATTTGGGAGGTGATGGTGTCTCGAGCGAACCAGCCTGGACAACAGGTGCTTGGGACCGCCTCCGCTGGTAAGGATGATCACTGTATATAAGTCTCAGATTTTTATCATCAATACTTTGGTACCTGAATGATAATGTTAGACAACAATTGTTTTTACAGGTATTTAACTGCAATCTTGACATCCTTGTTTGATGTTAAGTATCGCACGCATGCATGCACATGACTTAATTAAGTCATTAAAGATACTCTGGTTAGCTCACCTCAACGAAGTTGGGGGAGCTTATGTAATACCCTCGGTGTCGGCGTCGGTGTCGGTGTCGGCGTCCCAGGTTAAGTTTTTTGGAGCAGTTTTCTTTTTAAATACTTCTGTGTCCTATATTGAATAGACATGCATTGAAGATCCTTCTAGTGTGTTTCGTTGTACCAGTCAAAGTTTCAGATGCTGCAATTTCAGCAGAGGAATGACCAGGTTAATGTTTTTGGAGCAGGTCAACATTTTTGGTGCACTTTTTGGTGTAGGTCTCATTTCCAAGGAACTATAAACCCTATGTTGACCAAACTTGCATGGATGATACATCTAAGGATGCATACTACCAGGCTTGCTTCGGATGCTGAATCTGACCTACATTTTCCGGTTGAGTGAACAGGTTAAAGTTTTTGGTGAAGGTCTCATTTCCAAGTAACTATGAGCACTATAATGACCAAACTTGCATGGACGATACATCTTAGGATGCACACTAATGGACTTGCTTTGGATGCTGAATCTGACCTACATTTTCCGGTTGAGTGAACAGGTTAAAGTTTTTGGTGAAGGTCTCATTTCCAAGTAACTATGAGCACTATAATGACCAAACTTGCATGGATGATACATCTAAGGATGCATACTACCAGGCTTGTTTCGGATGCTGAATCTGACCTACATTTTCCGGTTGAGTGAACAGGTTAAAGTTTTTGGTGCAGGTTTCATTTCCAAGTAACTATAAGCCCTAATTTGACCAAACTTGCATGGATGATACATCTAAGGATGCATACTACCAGGCTTGCTTCGGATGCTGAATCTGACCTACGTTTTCGGGTTGAGTAAACAGGTTACAGTTTTTGGTGCAGGTCTCATTTCTAATATACTATGAGCCCTATGATGAATTAACTTGCATGGATGATATGTCTAAGGATGCATCCTACTAGGCTTGCTTCAGATGCTGAATCTGACCTACATTTTCTGGTTGAGTGAACAGGTTAAAGTTTTTGGTGCATGATTCATTTCCAAGTAACTATGAGTTCTTTAATGACCAGACTTGCATGGACGATACATCTTAGGATGCACACTAATGGACTTGCTTCGGATGTTGAATTCAACATACATTTTTCAGATAATGGACCAGGTAAAAGTTATGGGTGCAGGTCAATTACCAAAATGCTTTTAGGCTTATATAACATTGTATAAACCAAACTTGCACAAATGATGCATCAAGGGATGAAAACTCTCAAATTTGCTTCAGATGCTGGATTTTAGTTACATTTTCATGAAGAAGAACTAGTTTGAATTTTTATATAGGTCTATTTCAAAGTATCAGATCAAAATTGCATGAATATTTTCATTTTTGTACACTTTTTGTTGGTTAATTGTGTGACTTTGCCTTACTTAAAGACAACATTCGTTGAGGTGAGCTCTGTAATCTCTGATTACCTATGTTTTTCTTAAAAAGATCACACAGCAAGGATCTGGTCTATACAAACCCAGCAGTGTCTGCTGCAGTATTTAGGACACCAAGGCTCGGTCAACTCAATCAGGTTCCACCCAGACAGAGAGCTGGCCCTGACAGCATCAGGGGACCGCACTGCCCACATCTGGGGGGCACATGTAACCCTGCCAGAGGCCAACAAGAGATTTGGAGTAAGTCTACCATCTTTTAGTTTACTAAAATTTTAAATTCTTTATACTTGTTTTTGATTCTTTAACACTTTGCATTTTGTGCAAGCATAATCTTCATGTCTTAAAAGAAAGAAATTGACATTTATAAACAATTTTTCCCTTTTCATTGAATTTTTAGCTCTACTGGTCAGAGACCAGAATTTTTTCCGTCCGTCTGTCTGTCTGTCTGTCTGTCTGTCTGTAAACAATTTTTCAAAATGCTACTCCTCCTACAGTTTTGGTCTGATTTCAATTTAACTTGGCACACAACTAGACTACACTAAGATACATAATTCTGTGTATCGGTTTTTGATTTTGATGAACGGTATTGCCGTGGTTACTAAAAATAGAAATTTCTGTGAAATTCTTTCAAAATGCTACTCCTCCTACAGATTTAATCTGATTTCAGTATAACTTGGCACACAACTAGACTACACTAAGATACATAATTCTGTATATCGGATTTTGATTTCGATGAACGGTGTTGCCGTGGCTACTAAAAATAGAAATTCAAAATGCTACTCCTCCTACAGATTTAATCTGATTTCAGTATAACTTGGCACACAACTAGACTACACTAAGATACGTAATTCTGTGTATCGGTTTTTGATTTCGATGAACAGTGTTGCCGTGGTTACTAAAAATAGAAATTTCTGTGAAATTCTTTCAAAATGCTACTCCTCCTACAGTTTTGGTCTGATTTCAATATAATTTAGCAAACAAGTAGACTACACTAAGATGCATAATTCTATGTATCGGTTTTTGATTTCGATGAATGGTGTTGCCATGGTTACTAAAAATAGAAATTTCTGTGAAATTCTTTCAAAATGCTATTCCTCCTACAGTTTTGGTCTGATTTCAATATAACTTGGCACACAAGTAGACTACACTAAGATACATAATTCTATTCATCAGTTTTTGATTTCGATTAACGATGTTGCCATGGTTACTAAAAATAGAAATTTCTGTGAAATTCTTTCAAAATGCTATTCCTCCTACAGTTTTGGTCTGATTTCAATATAATTTAGCACACAAGTAGACTACACTAAGATGCATAATTCTATATATCGGTTTTTGATTTCGATGAATGGTGTTGCCATGGTTACTAAAAATAAAAATTTCTGTGAAATTCTTTCAAAATGCTATTCCTCCTACAGTTTTGGTCTGATTTCAATATAACTTGGCACACAAGTAGACTACACTAAGATACATAATTCTATTCATCAGTTTTTGATTTCGATTAACGATGTTGCCATGGTTACTAAAAATAGAAATTTCTGTGAAATTCTCTCAAAATGCTACTCCTCCTACAGTTTTGGTCTGATTTCAATATAACTTGAACATAAAGAGGCTCAATCAAAGATCATTATTCTATTTATTACCGCTGTAAAGTTTCAATTCCCAACTGCTTATTAAAGTATTTTCTCTTCCTTTGCTATAAATACAAACCAGTAGAGCTTCAGTCTCGACAGAGACTTCTGGTTTATGTTAAGCACCTTACTGAATCTGCAAGAGCATAAAGATAATGTAACTTTTCTTGTCTGTTCAGCGAGCTGTCTCTGTTGATGATGATGTAGACAACTCAGAGAAAGAGGAGCAACCAGAAGGTACAATACTTACATGTTACAAACATGATTTGTATGATTGCTAATTAACTGTTATCTGCTTTACCACCAAGTTACCAACATTTGATTTTTAGTACATTAACTTCAAACAATCTTGCTTTATCTACTGGTTTTGTTCCTTCGTTGACCTCTAGCTGAGAGTGTAGAACAGACATGGGAGGCTGCCATTCTGAGGACTCCATCAATGGAACTTTCTGGACACACTGGAGTAGTGGTGGCAGCTGATTGGATGTTGGAAGGAAATCAGGTCATCACAGCATCATGGGATAGAACAGCCATTTTGTTTGATGCTGAAACTGGAGAACAAGTTACATGCTTGACGGGTGAGTAGTAACTTGGATAGAAATGGTGATAGTATTTTCAGTTTGGTTGCAAGCAGATCAAAATCATTTGAATCACACTCTACTCAATGTGTAGATTAGCTCTAATAGAATTTTTTTTTAATCTAGGGCATGACCAGGAATTGACAGATGTACGAACCCATCATTCACAGAAACTAGTGGTGACCTCCTCCAAGGACACGACCTTCAGACTGTGGGACTTCCGCAGTCCCAGCATGCAGGTCAATGTATGTCAAGGCCACAATCAGTATGTATCTTTTAATTCATTGTAAAACAAGATTATAACACAAGTTTTGAAGCTATAAACTGCATTGAATGTCTCAACTTCAGTGTACTTTGAAATTGCAGTTGTTATTTTTTAAGGTATATTCATGCCATTTACAACTATTGAATGAAAATTAGTTTACTCAAATGTAAATGTTTACCTTTAGACCTGTGACTAGTGCATTGTTTGCTGGCTCAGATAAAGTTGTATCAGGAAGTGATGATCGGACCGTGAAAGTATGGGATGTCAAAAACATGAGATCTCCCTTAGCTGCCATTAGAATAGACTCCTCTGTAAACAGGTAAAAAGGCATTTTTATTTTAATGATGCCTTTTGAAGCATTCTGCATAAAATTAAATAAGCATTTAGACAACTATTTGAAATCAGTTTACCAATCCAATTTAGGAAGTCACTTGGCATCATTTTCATATCACTTTACTTATCCAATTATGTTAATTAGATTGTGTCAAGTACTTGCTCTGAAAAAAAATTACTGTAGATCACTAAATTTTCGCAACACCTTATTTTCGCGAGATAGTCATTGGCTCTTGATTAGCGAGACAAAATTTTCGCGAATTGTGGTTATTGCTCTATTATACGCGAGAATTAAATTTTCGCGAGCACAATGTCTCGCGTAATTATGCAAAAATAAAGTTCTCACTAATAAAAAGTGATTTACAGTAGTTGTATAAATACTATACGATCTACATAAAATGGAACTAATGAGAGAAAAAGAATAGAATATAATCAACAATATCTATCAACTTGTGCTTCCTATTCAAAGCTTTAATTTGATGAGAAATGATTGTATACTTTTCAAGAGTTGTCCTTCTTAACAGCCATTATTTTTCATGGAAATACATTGTCACAGAGTTACCTTTCTTGACTCACTACACGTGTATTTTATTTTACATTTTCAGGTTGTCTGTTTCTTCAAGCCAGAGTTTGATTGCGATACCACATGACAACAGGCACATCAGAATCTACGACATCAACGGAAACAGAATAGGACGACTACCTAGAAGTAACCGACAGGTACGTGTATAGAATAATAGAGTGTGGATACTGCTGTCACACTAATACATATAGAGAAGTATCAAAACAGTGTTCCAATTATAATTCTTATACACAGTGGAAATAAAAGAACTGTATGCTCATTTCCTTTCACTAAATAAGTAGATCAAATACTAAAGGTTAATGAATCAGGACACTGCAAACATACTTTTTTTCTGTGTGAGATTAATATTTTGTTATATTGATAGTCACAAATTCATACAAAGCATGCATACAAATGCAAACCATTGAACAGAAATTGTGATACATGTACATCAAAGTTTTAAACCCCATGCAAATAAGTACAGCCTGTTACAGTATGTAGACCACACTTATTTGACCCTTTGACCTTTGACAGGGTCACAGTAAGATGGTGACCTCTGTAGCCTGGACAGAAGACCATCCAGTGTGTAACCTGTTCTCTTGTGGATTTGATAGGAAAGTCCTGGGCTGGAACATCAACCTCAGAGAAAAGGACTGAACCCAGTTAGGTCTTGTTTAATTTTCAGTAGAACCCCCCTCCCCTGTAAATGCTTGTGTAGAAAAGTATGTAAATTAGTATACATAAAAAATGTAGCAACCTCAAGTTCAAAGACATAAATATTATTTGTATTGAAAGAGGTTTACGTTTTTTTTGAGTGATGTCAGTTTAGTGCAATATTTTTTTTAAGTTTATTGTATTTTATCCTTGAACATTAGGGCAATATGCAAAAGTTAAAATTTTTCTATGTAATAATAATTTGACTCAAAGACTGTTTTTAAAACATGTAAGTGTAATGTCTTTAGAGTTTTTGTGTTCTCTTTGTTATGAGATTAATGCATATAGATTATTAATCAGCCAGAATATTGTAACTTTCATTTACGGTACCTTACTTTGTAAAAGAAAATGTTTATAATTTTTTGAATGGAGTTTGTATTACAAAAGGGAGGGTGCGCAATGAACCTTTAAGGAGAATTCTTTTCAGAGAGGGCTAGGTAATGACAGCTAGCCAAAGTGGAACGTGACTTTTGTAAATAGATCAAAAATTTCAGAATTGCCACTACTTAATCAAACTTAAGAGTATTAGTAAAATTAAATTTTACTTAATTCTGATTTTTCTTCATCAGTGATATTGAAATGAATAAAATAAATCATATTTTTAATCTACTAGCACATACTATATTATTTTGATTTTATTGTAAATGCAAATATATATTAAATTTACCACGGCACAAAGATATTTTATGCATCTAAAAGTAAAACAATATCTTAAACTGCAAATTCCTAATATTTTTGAGAAATATTTTTCCCCTGTGCCTTTTGAACAATGTGAAAATAGTAAGCACATATGTATAGTACCTACATGTAATTGTTGTAAGAAAGATAATTAGCAATTGCTATGTTTATACAACTTAAGTTCCGAGAATGTTTCTCCTATTGCTTAAAGCATTTTAACTGTATTGAAATGATTAACATTTTGAAATGATATAATGAGATAGGAGAATTTAAGCAAATTGTTGTAAATAGTCTATATTGCTATAGAGTTAAAATGTTGTTCATAAAATTGTATTCAGTAAAACTGAAGTAGAGATTCATATATTTGTATTAATGAGATGTTGTCCTAAATCATACTGCACTCTAATGAAAGCCTAATTTATTCACATTAAAGTGTTATGTTCTGTCAATCTAGTTGTCCTTCATGCCTGATCTGGTGTTCAATACTTGACTCTCTGCACGGAATGACATGGCAGATTGAATGCCTTGTGTGTAAGGAGAGCCCACTTGAGAAGACGGGGGACCACAAATCTGCTGGGGGATGATTTAATGGATATGCTGATGAGCATGTGTTCAGTGCATGTTTCATGAGTACTGTTAGATATTTACACAAGTGGCATTTAAACCATTCAAAAGACACCTTAAGTCTTAAGCTTTCTGCAGGGTATTAGAGAATTAGATTATGAAATCATTGAAAATTATTTGCTAACTACCAATAGTACTAGTTATTGTTGCAATTAACATGGTCATACAGGAGAAGGCTAGCATGCACTTCTTTGGTCCTTAAAACTTAGCTATCTGCTGGAATTAAATTTTAAGTATTAGAGAATTAGATGATGAAATCATTGAAAATATTTGCAAACCACCAATAGTACTTGTAAGTGTTGCATTCAACGCGGTCATATAGGTAGCATGCACGTTTTTGGTTTACCTATTTATTTATATTTTGAAGATTCTTTTATTTCTTAATGAAATGGAGTCTGCCATTATAATGTGCTCAGGTTGGGCCTTCCCTGACTCAGGGTAAAATTATTGGGTGCTAGGACATGTAGAAGTTTGTAATTGGTTTTAACAACATATTAATTATTATTAAATATATAAGCGAGGTTAAACCGGATTAGCCTACGCATGCGCGAGAACTCTAGAGAGTTCCAATCGGCAATCCTCGGCTGACTCCGCTACACCAATCGCAACTTCTCGGGCCTTTCCGACAAGCTTCCCGACCTCTGATGGAAAGACCCAGATGATGCGAATGAGAGTTCACTGGCGGATCCAAATTTCCAATCTAATACACATACCTTTATATACAAACTAAACATTGATTCTATGGCACAAGCATTTAAAAAGTAGGAAGAATTTGCAATGCAGAGATAACTTAACAACTTGAATTAAAAACTTCATTCAACGACTAGTTCTAGGTTTTTAAAAGATAGATCTTTACCGGCATTAGTTTTGTGCATCAAGACTCGCAAAAATAATTTGATATATAGGAATCCAAATACAACTTGATACAAGCCTGTAGCAACGGCTTTCCATGTGGGGGAGGGGGGAGGGGGGCTCTGAAAAAAAATCTGCTTACTTAAGAGCTGTGCTACATGTACATGCTTACCATCAGCTTTAATTTTCTAATGTTAGATTTCTTCCGAATAAATCTAGAATATTATATGTCTAGTATATGTAAAGTCCCAGTCATTGTGGGTTAAATGTATCAAAATAGCCCGAATTTAAAGATGACACTTGAAAATTATATGCCAGTCGGAGATTAAATCTAACAAAATTTTGCTATGAAAGTACATGTACTATCAGTCAAAGTAGGCAGATCATTGTAGAAATGTGAACGAACCTACATGAATATTCAATAAACTTAGAAATTTTTTTCTTTAATCAAATTTCGGTTAGAAACACCTGCATATGGTCCACGTATTGTAGTCCTTTTTTTAAAGGACAGCAACTTGTTATTTAACATTAGCGTATAAAGTAGACTTCCTTAATTTTGCGTACAATACTCGCCAATATTGTCATTTTAGACATTCATCTAATCCAAACATGATTTTTTTTTCAAATAATGATCTAACAAACTAGTTGAAACATTTTAATTCCATTTTCAAATGACAAAATCAACAGATTTATTGTGATGAAAGTTAAAGGCAATAGGAGTGTTTGTGTTCACACTCATAAAAACCTTTGCTGACATGTCTTTTTTGAAATCTATTTATCACTCTCTTTATTGGTCAATTTGTTCAAACATTGATGTCTACATTTCATTTTTAAAAAGAATTTGCCAACGCAGGCAATTCCCGGTATTTCTTTAAAAAAAATAATGTTAGGTTGAACAATTAACCGCAACATCCTGCATGTTAAAATATGAAATGTGCATTTTAAGTTGTTTTCCTTGCCTGTGTGCAGATTTCGACTTGAAATCGATGTTTTTATTAAATTTCTATATAGGAGATATAAACAGATATAATTAAACAGCATTAGACACATTTTTGATGATATTTTGGAATCATTTATTTTTAATTTTGCAGGAGATTTAAAAATTGCCTAGTCAAGATTATTTTTTAAAGAGTATTCCAGGTATGTATCAAGGATTGGTGTTTCGGGGAATAGCCGTTTTCTTCGAAATGTCTTTATGACTCTTCTTTTGAAATGTTCAAATATGTTTTTTGAACATCAAAAGGACATAAAAAGTATTTACGAATTTTGCATTGCAGATTTTTACAAATGAATCAAACTAATTGTGAAATTTTGTAACTATATACCCTCGATCTTTGATCATAGAAATGAACAAAATGTTACAAATATCAAAGCTAAATATATAATGACGTTTTACACTTTAAAGTAGTGCCTGTCTATGTACACCCTCCCCATATTTTTGGAAATCTTTATTTTTAATAAGCCAATAGCGAAAATACGTAGTATAAAGAAATACTAGTACATGTATTTTTCCTTATTCTTTTCAATGTGTAGAAAACGAAAATCTATTTTTAAAAGATTTAGTTTCAGAGTTCACAGAAAAATATGTTTTTAAAGACATTTTTCAAAGGAACTCTTAGATCCAGCGTGATGGATTTGTACTTCGGCTACACATGCTTCAGGGCAGATTTAATTTCGATAAGAGTACATACTCTCTGGAAATAGGATTGGTTATTTGATTAAAAAAAGTAAAATTTGTTGTTGAAAAAAATTAAATTTCCTACTCAAAAGAAAATTCGTCTACTATTAATTAATACATGTATATATAAAAAATAAAAATCGTTGAACACCTTTTGAATCCATCGTAGATTCGTAGCTGAACACATTTTATAACTATCAATTTAACAGGTGTAAGTGACCATGAACAGTAAAATAGATCAATGTCTCGTTTGTCCGCGGCCTACAATAGAAATAAATGCCCTTATCCATGTGTTAAGTGCTGTTAGAAATAAAACAAAAATTAACAAGTTAATAAAAAGGGATACCTTTGATTAATCTTTTTATTTTGCTGATTTATTGTCCAATCAATAGTGCGCCTGAAGTATTCTGTAGAGGTTAAGGCTGGTTCAAGGCTTTTTTCCAGTAAGGTGTCGGAGGTCCTACTTAGCGTCCAGGCTCGATATTGACGTCAAAAGTTTAATTTCTAAATTCAAAGGTCGTAAAAAATTATATAACCGGTTAATAAGCTCTTAAAACCACATAACCCTTAAAACATTGAATGTGATGTCTTTTGTAAGCCGGGTGTCATATATTTTGAGTATCGTCATTACCTTAAAAGATAGTTTATTTTTAAGTGCAAAAAAGATCAAATAAAAGAAACTAATTTTTAGAAAAGTTCAGGAGGAGTCAGGTGGCCGCGTGAAACTACATAAGATTTCAATAGCCTAAGAACAATGTATAAATCAAACATAACACGACTGTCTGTGAACACCTATATTTAATTATCTGACGAGGATTACGATTGCAACAGTAGAAATCCATTTAACAGAACTTTCTCCAAATCATTTTTTAAAGTTGCCTTTTCTAGCCTATTCTTATATTTTTATACTTTAAAGAATTTATCACATTATTTAGATCTTAATACCAAGCGATCACTTGATATGAAGGATGATTAAAAGTATAGGCCATCATACTATACAATGTTATCGGTCAATTTCCACCTGGGTAGTAACTCTTTTTACACTTTAAGGCCAGAAGTAATACCAAGTTACCAAATTTATAAAGATTTTATCGCTATACCTCCTACCCCGAACTATCAGACATAACGAAAAATAGCTTGTCAATTCGACACTCGCCATTCACTAACTTATTTAGATAGCATCCCGCGATGGTCTATACTATTTATTACTTTCGGCAAAAGACTAAGTTTTTGCCAACCGAAACCCATACGCATTTCTCTTGTACCATTTGTGTTTTGGTCCGTTGAAATTAATTTTTTTTAGAAGACAGGTATATAAGTTCGATATTTTTAAAAATATATTCTTTGATTCCACTGTCATCCATTTATTTATAAAGCCACCAGTACTGATACGTCAAGAATCGATATGCTACAAGTTAATGGACGTTCTTCTTTTAAAACATGAGTTACCATTCTCTTCAGAAAAAAGTGCCGTCAAAATGGGCCCGAATTTTTTCTCTGTTGGGCAAAAGTGGGAAAGGACAAGTTCAAAGAAAACTTTTATGTGATACATTATGAAAATAAATCTCGGGGGCGAACTTGACTTTGCTGTCTTCTCCTTTTCCCTCATTATGTCCGTAACACGATACCAGTGCCAAAGAACGCATAGTGCTTGTATCAGGTGTTATATATTTATCCTTAATTGGTCCTCTTACAATAATTCTGTAGACCCACTTAATCCTAAACCTGTTTGCTTTTTATTTCCTGAAATTACTTTATTGCAATCTTCATGGATATACAAATATTTATATAAGGGATACATGTTGGGAAGCATGTAAAGAATGTTTATTAATAAATTATTAAAACCTCTCTGATTGAATTGTACAGAAATAGACTATCAAAATAATGTCTATTAACCTTCAGATTGAAACAGTTCGATGTCAGTTTTTAAACGTCATATGAAGATTTTGCTAGGGGAGAGAGAGAGAGAGAGAGCAAAATTCTGTAATAAGTAATTTGCCAAAAAATAACGACTGCAGATAAAAAAAAATAACTTATCACATCAGATACCCATGTTCTAAGCTATAAGTATGATCTACAACGACGGGTTAAATAAAGCATTGGTCGTAAAACGTTTCTTTTCAGTTTGGTTAGTAGATTAAAGCAGGATAATCAATAAAAGAAAGTTTGGAGTTTGGAATGGTATAGATCAGGCATGTAATCTGGGGGTAACTGTATGTATTTTGGGATATGTAAACAGTGTTTTGAGGGGATATCGACAGGTTCCTGATAGTGAAATAAGGGCAGGAACGACCA